CTTTACCTTCCCAGGCGGTATCACGGACGTTGCCCACACTATGTAGAGGATTTTTTGCTTGTTTGTAAGGGAGCTTTCGTCCCTATTTCCTATAAGCTTGCTGAGGAGATTCGTGGTGCAGTTCTGACCCGGATTTTTGAAACAAACATCTCAACTCGATCGGTCTAATGGGTCTTCTCTGAAAGTCTCATGAAACTTTGAAATTTCCATAGTTTTCACAGAACTGGTTCCTACAGGTGGAGGCGTCTCTCAACACCTCAAATCCGGGTCACATTTCCTATCTTTGATTTTTTTTCGCCTTTTGAGATTACTACTTCATTCCTTTGTTACTTTTGAATAAACCTGTACAATTTCAATGTTTTTCTTTCCATTTTTCAGCTCTTTCAAGCGAACATCTTTCCGCTCATCGGAGAAGGCATACCCGGAGGGTCTGCAACAAGAGTGATATTCATAGAAAACCCAATTATCATTGGTAGTGATGTACGGAAGTCTATATAAGTATAAAAGCCGTTGATGTCAAATCAATTTCCATAAAAATGCGCAATTATAATTTCTCCTAGACGGTTTCAGAATACTACAGATAGTTCCCTTTTTCGGAAGAGATGTCTTCGAAATAGTGCAAGTTGCCTGCGAAATTTTGCGCCCATTACAATTTATTTCACCGCAAACCTACTGTAAAAGTCGAGTGCCCTTATAAATTTTTGTTCCTGGGTCGGCGATGTGGAGGAGAAGATTTGACTCAATTGAGTGATTTTGAAATTAGATTAGTAGATTAGATAGTTTTGGATTGGGACAAAAGGAACGAATTCGGGTCGACCAAGCCGAACATTCCAGACCAGTTTCATGGAGATTCAACCGATAAATAGGCTGGCCACACAACCCATTTGTGATAGTTGATCCATTTAGCCTGGTAACCAAAATTCAACATAAAATTCCAAAAGATAAGTTTATTCCCTAGACATATTAATGGCTGCCGCATAGTTAGTCTCAATGCTCCCATCAGCTTCTACTTTGTGAATATCGTTCAACATACTTGCGAAAGGCACATAAGAACGGTGTAGCAGTTTTGGCTAAAGTGTGTTATTTTGTAACTATTTACGAAAAAGAAACTGTATGGTAATCACACGTTGCATCTACTCCAACGGCGACGGCTGACTTTGATTGGGACGTAGCCTTATCGGAGTCGCCCCGCTATCAGACTTGGACCCCGACATGGCATCCAAATTGCTTTCGCTCGGTCCTGTAGTGCAATCGACTTTGCCATAAAAAGTTTCCTGACGTTTCCCACCGAATTCGGTGCTATCGACTAGCGGCAGTTCGGCTACACAGCTTACCCATATACAGAAAAAAAAATATGATTTCTACCGCTAGGTAGAAGGTCAGAAATCAAAGGCGGTATTGCCTCGGTTAACGTCTATGGAAATGAAAAATCATTCCATATCAACTTACACGTTTGTGTTTACTTGCTTGTTTATTGAATGAACACATCTTGAAAGGAATTGTTGCAACTGACGACCGGCTTTTCTGAATTTACGATCCTTTCTAGAATTACTGTCGAGTATAGAATCCACTTTGCCAACTAGGTGGTCGTTTGAAGCCATGAAGCCACGTGGGCAGGCCGAACATGTCTTGAACCAGAAAATGTGCATAATATCGCTCAAAAAGGATTTTATGACAGTTTCTAGCTCAGGAACAGCGTTGCGGCCAATCGATGAGATGGCTTGAAGTAGGACGATAGTTCTAGAACCGGGTGAAGGTGGTCGAGCAAGTAGTACCGGTGAAGTAAATCTATAGAGTGGTGGCATCGTCCCGCCCTTCACATTTTATTCGGTCCTGTATCTTATCTGAATGAATGTCAACATAGAAGCGTATCTCCATTGGCACACATGCCCTCTCGCAGTGATAGCCAACATGCAACATTGCCAACGCTGATTGTAAGCATAATGAGTGGAAGTAACCGAATAGTAGTCGAATTTACTGACAACGAAGTAGAGGAGGAAGTTGATACCCAGCTTGGAGTGGTTATGAAGTGGCCCAATCAGGTCGCTGAAAAAAGGAAATCGCAGTAGAGGGAGTTCCATCTAGGTAGGGTAAGAAGACGAATTGCATCACCGCACAGCACCAAACCAGCGACATAAGTGACAACCATTATCAGGAGCGCCAGTTTTTCCTCTTTGGAGCTTTATCAAGTCACAAATAACAAAAACTCTGCTTTAAAAAAGAATTACGTGACGGAGCCTTGAACAGAGCGTTTTCAAAAAGACCAGCATATCCTGATTTGTGAAACTCCACAAGTACCAGTCCAAAGTCCAAAAACCCACCATTCACTGGACAGTAAGTCGGCCAGGCTCTTCTTTTATCTTCAGCAAGTCAATCGCAAGTATTATACAAGCCCAATCCCTCGTCGTTTCCACTTTGTCCGCTCAAAAGAATCTTCCACTACCTTTTCCTGAGAACCAGATCCTGTGAGGCTCACGATTGCTTGAGAAAAATTCATGCGATGGCGATGCTATAAGCTCTTCACGTGGATGGGAATACCTTTTATGATTACTCTCACATGACCGTTCTTAAAAATCAAACCATCCCTACCGTTCCCACATGTCTCTCTTCCATGGGGGTATCGGAGGGCACATCTTGCTGTTGCTACGTGGGAATTGTAATTTTTCAAGAATCGATGAAGCGTGGCCATTTCTACAGTCACCTCTGTTTAAGAGACCATTTTAAAGCTATTTCTTCGTGACGCATTTTGAAGGTAACGAATTTCATTTTTTCCCTGTGATTTCCATGAACCCTGAATTCCAGTTCCAGTCAGGGTTCTTTCTGTTGAAGTACCTAGTTAATCCCTCCCCTATAAGCTCTATCCCTGTAACTTCACCGCTCTCCAGAGATCTTTGTATAGTACTGGTCGAAGCCCTCAAAAAATTGAACCTTTCCTAATTTCTTTGATTTTTAGAGTCGTACAGGAGTCGGCGATGGGAAGAATTTGTAAACAATATTTCGGTAGCTGTTGAGTAAATTACTTTACTACTAATTGGGAAAGGAGTACGATGGATCTATGTTTACAAGGCAAACCGCCTTCAGAAGATAGAAAACTCTATAACAAGCGCCATGGTGGACTTCTATTCTAACTTTTTCACATAAGCTGAGCTCTTAGGCTGCCCTGTCTAGATCATTTTTTGGCATGCCACATCCACAGAAAGCCTTTTCTAAGACTAGTTACGTGCCAGTAGGCGATTTGTGGAACTATTTTTATCCCCGATAAGTAAGTACGGATGTAAAGAGGTAGCAATCGCACTTCCCTACCATCGACAGATCCGTCAGATAAGACACTTACAGAAAAATGAGTGGGTTGGTGTGCTTGGTTGTTTCTTGGCTCATAACAACGCAGCTCAGAACTGCAAGAGTAATAACCCCAATTGCTACCTCCTTGGCATGCTGAAGCAGTCCTTACGCTGCCCTTGTGAGAACGAAAGTTAGGAATGGATAGCAGATTTTTACCGTAATCTAGCAATGGCGTTATACGACTTCTCGCGACTAACTCCGTTGTTATAATGAATACNNNGCTGATTTCTTTGATCCTGGGAGAACATCTACTTGTTTCAGGAAGAAGACGAACGAGCCCACTCTTATAAGTGATATTTACCTCTGCTGCAGTTTCTTCGATTATAGCTCACTTACGATTAGGCAAAAGACTTTTCCTTACTAATGTGTACATTTAATGGAGTGCACTGCAATCATGCTTGGAGAGAGGAGAAAGCCTTCACACAATCAGACATTCGGCTAGAGCCCCAACAGAGCCGGATATATACCGAAGAACGTCCTCTACAGCTCCTGATTACCATGTCAATAGTACAAATGATACTATTATATGGCAGAGAAATGATTATCCTCACCCAATGAGCCCACAGTTCTGGGCTGATCGCTCGAGACCTCGAACAGCATCGGATAGCCAAAATAGTTTCTCGTAGAAATGTCAACACGGTAGCTTGTTCTTGTCCCTAGTGTAAAAACGCGCCATTGCAAGGTCCTTTTTCTTCTGACAATGGCATATCTTCTGTTTTCACTTTAAATTCGGTTGCATCTTTCTTGATCCTTTTGATAGCTCCGTTCATATAGCTACTCCTCCATCAGGATGTGCGCTGATCAGCAAATCTCACTGACTCTACGTGAATTGGTGTGGGCGACAGCTGATTTGTGACGTTGTTGATGACTAGCGGTTCAATCGATACGTGAATGATAACGGAAAATGTACCACGTAAGGGGCGACGACATTTCTGGGTTGGCTTGTTTGCCCACTTGAGACATCCATTTCATATCAGGTGACCTCTCGCTTTTGAGCCTATCGGCGGCATTTGGTGCTTCGGAAATGTCGCGATATAGGAAGGGAGTATGAAGCTATCCTAACCTACACAAGTAAAGGGAATCGTGACAGCGAGCATGACCTTTTTCTAAACATTTTTCAGCAGTCGCCTCTTTCATTTCTGTTATTAGAAACGTCCTCAGACAGCAAAACACAGCATTTCCGAAATGTTTCAGTTAAATCGGAAATCGGAATGAATCATAAATCATTCCAGGCATTTAAGCGCGTTTAAAAATTGGTGAGACCAGCATGAGGCTGATGTTATCGAGGCTCGTCGCTGTGCAGTGAACAGCAGGCACAGCCAACTTTGTACCCTTTCAACTCACCTTCCAAATAACGTTATACCCGATTTCAATTGTACTGCACTGACGAATACGAAAACTGTTGGTGAGCGACTCGGTAATGCTGCAAATTGTCTCGAGTCTGAGGAAGTCTAAAGCTCGTATTCTCGGCCTGCCTGAGGATTAAGTACCAATTGGCATTCATTCCCCCAAAGAACAGAATGTTTCATGTGATCACCGTACAACATCGTTCAGTGAAATCACAAATTTACTGCATTTAAAGTTAGAAAATCATTTTAAAGGTAATCACTCTAATACAAGTATAACAAAAAGGCCTCTGAAAGGAGAGAGATCTCAATTTACTCAGTTGGCATTGATCCTTTGTGCGACTCGACCTTGTCCACAATTCCAAATTTCATCGCCTCGAGTGCGCTCATGAAACGGTCACGATCCAAAGTCTCTTGGATGACCTGAATTTGAAAATTTCATAGAAAAAGAAGCATTCCAATCATTAATCGGTAAGGAGGAAAGTTGGTTCATTGCCTCGTAAGTTTGTCCAGTGTGATGCACATAAATTTCTTGGGTACGTTTTTTCAAACGTTGAATTTCTTCTGCACGAATAACGATATCAGAACATGTACCCTAGAATTGCTATTGTGAAGCATAAGCTCTTCCTGGGCTCTATGTGAGTAAAGATGTTTTCACATCTAATGTTGATATAATAAAACCCAATACGCCTACTAGATTAATAGAGCAAATTCGGACAACCGACCTGGGCCCCTCCGCTAGGCTGATGGACCATGATCCGCGAATTCGGCAATGCAGTACGCATACCCTTCTCACCTGCACACAACAGTAGTGAACCCATACTGGAAGCCTTAAAAGGGTCTCTCAGACCTTCGTGCTTATATATTTGTTGTAATGATAACCAACCTGGCCCACACACCATGTGGCTACGGGAGGAGTAATCATTTGCATTGTGTCATAAATTGCAAGTCCTGCCGTAACACTACCACCTCAAAAGAACTATGGGCCCAAACGGTCAGAAACAGACGAGGCCATATTTGTGAGTTGCACGTACAAAAGGCTCGTACAAAGAAATCTGCTCACCTGGGCTATTTATGTACATGTGGATCGGCTTCTTACTGCTGTCGCTTTGAAGAAATAGCAACTGTGCGATGACGGAAGAGGCAACGAAGTCGTCCACATGAAAACTGTAAGTTACCTAGAGCTGGAAACAAACAGGGCGAGCTTAACAACGGTGCAATCATGCAGCACCTGATATCCTGTGCATCCATAACGTTGACAAAATAGTCTCGATAGTTTACGGTAACCTTATTGGGGTACTAGGACCCAATTTTAGCGCTATATAAGGAATGAAAACTATCCAAGAAATAAATGGGTTTGGAAATAGGCCGCTATTCTTCAGGATACCTACCAGCCGACCTAACCCTCTTTTAAGAAAACCACTTACCGGTGTCATGACACATACTATGCGATCTCGCAGCAGTCGACTGTATATGTCATAAGATCGTTCTCCTCGTCCTTCATTTTCTATCACAAACGGAATTGCAGTGAGAGTCGGAGCAGAAGTGAACTCATGGCGTATCCCCAGAATACAGTGTCGTATTCCAAGCAGCACACCTCGAAACAGCATCTTACTGATGCCGAGCCCTAATAGCACAAAAACAAGTGAATATTAAAAAAAAGGATGTGAAGGTAAAAGAAGTTGCTCAACATTTAATAGGCTGTATAGTTAGCATATACAGTAGCTAGCAGTAAGCATGTAGTAGTTCATTAGGAAATTTTTACTGCGATGGTTACACTTTGAAGAACAAAAGTATTATCATAGAGACTTTATTGATTGATTCGGCGTGGGTGCCTATGTATCACTATCTATAATATCAAGGAACGCTTCACAGTTACCTCAAGGTGATTCCATGAAAACATGCTATGAGTTGCGCCTGGCCAGAATTATTGCTTATAACGCAATTGGTCCTGTCCGTGCAGATGTGCAGAGACCTACCTCAAACAAGGACCTGGTGAACTCCACCCTTCTCTCCGAAGTAGGCGATCACAATTTAGGAAACAATAGAGCGACCAATCCCTCCCTGTTCCTAAGAACCAGTACCCAACTACAGCATTTTTACGACATCGTGAGATCGCAACGAACTGGATGATGATGTTTTGCGTTCAAGGAAAAGCGCAGGCATGTTAACTACCGAGCTCTCACCATAGCACGGTGAAATACATCACCAAAATCCAAGGAAATATCGACAATGTAGCAGAATTCATAGGGAAAAAATTACTCATTTGTTATGTGACACACATGTAGCTCAGAGTCAGGAACTGAAACCTTGACACCATAAATACTGTGGTAGCAAACCAACGCTGTAAAGCACTTTTTATTCGACTATTCGATTAATTCAACATAATATACACTTATTTTTGCAATTAGAAATCGATAAATTCGACATGTTTCAGAATGGAATGGAGTGAATCACAGAAATACGACAATTCCTTGACCTAACAGAGAAAATCCCTCAATTACATCGAATATCGGAGCGGATGGACGAGTTTACAGCATTAACGAAAGTCGTCTGGGTTGAACATACCACGAGCTCTGTTGAGGATACTATCCTGAAAAACTGCTCAGTGTTTTGATACCTAGAACAATATTTGAATAAATGAAATACAAGAATCTTGCCTTGCTTGGGTCATAAGGAGCTTCTTTGCTAGGAATTTCTAACACAGCTGGAATAGATGCGGTGTGCTGATCAACCTGTAAAGGCAAATCAGAAAATTTTTAAACAAAAAAATCTCAGATTGCTTTGAGTGGGGCGGAGGTAATGTATTGGCAAGTGGAATACTATCATGGCACACGGTTCGAATCCCGTCTATGCTAACCAATGCATTCATCCAAGTGGATCCGCCAAATGGTACACCTTTCCTCGGGGTGTAAAAGTGCTGGCCATCGTAAGGCCAGCACTTTTGCACCCCGAGGAAAGGCGTTTAAAACGCCACTACGATACTGAATGGAAGATGGATGCAGTGGCGCATTTCAGTACGGTACTGATTAACGACAAATCTCGATCCTTTATCTTTGATGTCGTGGGTGAATATTCGTCCTCAAAATGACTCTAAAGCCTAGTTAACACTAAAGCAGTAAAAACTTAAAATAAGATAGATCTCCCAGGAAGGGGAGCAGTGCGAAAACACCACTCATATTTGAAACAGTTTTCGATCGATCATGCGACGAAAAGCGATTTAAGGGTCTATATGAAAGTAGGTCTAGACTGTATCCGATATGTCCTTGAGAAAAAACAGATATCATTAAAACAAAAAAACTTGAAACTCACAACATATCGTATCATTTCCGCAATGTGCTGATTAATAAGAATTATAGCAATATCTTCACGAGAACAGAAAGTCTTGAAAGCTTCTTCAATTTCTTGTACTCCAGTCTGTTTGTCCACGATTAAGTAATTCGGCTTCCTTGCCTGAAAGAAAAATTAAAAATTGAGAATTTTTCGGCACCTTAGTATCCACCAACTACTTTTATTGTGAGATTGCGATAATAATGAATATCGGAACTATTCAGTTTCGGTCACAGCAAGGTAAAGATAAACTGGAACACAAAATTTTTGGATTTTTCATAAAATGTGTTGTAGGCGGGGCCAAACGAGCTGCTGAACTAATCTCGCGAAAATCTTCTGGACCCCAAGTCAGAAGGGATGTTAGTATTAGCAGGAGATGGACCGGAAAAAATGATACGGTAGAGAAGTGGGATACAGAGGCAGATACAAGTTGACTAACCTTGTTGAGCTCTCCAACGCCACCGAGAAGGAATCCTACGACAGTGTCCTCATCTCCAATGACCGCAAGAATCTTTCCTTTTGTTACTGAGGCCATTACTGAAAGACAATAATTAAATAAACAAACTATACATGCACTATATCACATTCAAAGATAAAGTAACCAGAATTAAACTTGGAAAGTGTTGAAGATTACGATGTAAAAGAAGGAAAAATTCAAAAGCCAGCAAGAGCACTGTGACGAAACCGTAGATTATACAGATAACAGGCGGTGTGCTTATAATAAGCTAACAACTACGATAGCACGAAAATACAAAAAGGCTCTCTCTGAATTTCCACGACTAATAATCCCATTATTAACCGGCAAAACGGCTTTAGCTGGCATAAAAAATGAATCATTATAATTGAGCAGTGTTAATGCAAAGGAGATGGTCTAGAAATTTGAAAGTGACTGCATCTCATTTAGTTTCAAAAAAAATGGGCTCTTTCACAAAAAAGGACTACTAGGAAAAGCGGAGTGGTGACTGATAGCATAAGGCATTGTAAATGAACAAATCGTCAACGCTATACACTATAACCTTTACAAGATATCGGTAATTGTTATTTCCAACACAAATTCTTCAGGGTTTGAGAGATAAAAGATCATTTTGAGAAACAGCTGTGAAAGAGCGAAGTAATCTTGCCGGGACCCATAACATTTGTCAAACTGTCGTCGATTAACGTGTGCGGTAGCAATTCACGTACAACACGTCACAGCTACGCCAGAATTTGCGCCATCCATCTTCATTGCTTGATTGTAAGATGGGAGCTATAAAATGGGCAACCTGGGTAACTGCAGTGTCGGGGAATCCGAGAAAGGTCCAGTCACATGCGTTATTGAGAAATCAGAGAGTGGAGAGTCAGCGAACTCTCGGAATAACCGCAGTCGTGACTGGTGGAAATTAGGTTTACAGTGGATACTTCTCGTTCCGCTCAAATGTCAATCTGTCCGTTCATCAACTGGTAGGTAGCATACGCAAACGTCAGAAGGCAGTGTGGATGCAAGATGCACCCAGAAGCGATGAGGGAAAGGAACAGTTTGAAGACGGCGGTGAGCAAGAGGGAACCCTTGGTGGTGTACCAGGATAGTCTATTGCGGTTCTTTAGGGACAGGGCAATTTGCCCTTTACTCCAATATTCTCCTCACACTGGAGTTGCCTCATCTGTGAAGAAATCACCTTGAAAAAGGTGACCAGGACTCGTAAGGAGGCTCAGTATGGTCGGACCTGCATTAGGTTTACGGACGGTCATCGGCTGCCTTTCCTTGCCCTTCTCTCCTCTTGCAACCCCTTCTTTAGTAATCATGTGGGAGATTACCGTAAGACTGACTGATCCCATGCATCTGTATCCCACTAGTGAAACTATTAGATATACTAGCTAAATGTGATAGGGAATGAGATCGATCCTGTCGCTAGAGAATAGTGGGAACTAGCTTGTAGGTAGGTTAGGCGCCAGATGATGTAAGATGATGGACCCGGAGTTGAAAAGAACGAGGAACATGGGTACCGGGCAATAAGCTTGGTGGTGATCCGTGAGGTTTCCTGTGAACTTTGTTTCTCTGTTGAAATAATAGCGTCGTACACTTCTTGCTGTTTAGGTTTCCCTGTCATTTTAATCGTGGTAGAACCATGATGGATTTCTGAACGGACTGGCTGCTTTCATAGTCCGCCGGCGTGCCGGCGTGCCGGCGCGCCTATAACAAAGCTAAACATTTTCTTTGATTTGATGGAGCACAAAGTTTTTGCTCTAAGGACCCATTTTCTTCTTATCGAGAATACTCAGGAGAAACATGATTTGTGATGCCTGAGAATACTATTCAACTTTTTTCTTTCGAGGCTGTAATTTGACTGACTCGAATAGTCAGGCTTATCAACTATGTCTAGGCATATTTCTCAGGTTGAAATGACTCACTAGCTATTTACTGCTGTCTACTCCTAGTACTCGATTAGAGCAGTATAATGACTTCTTCATTTTCAGCTTGCAGTGACTCATTCCCTGATGAACGTTTTTAGTGCTAGCAGCCTTTGATCGGAATGGCAATTAGTTTTCCAAGACCATATATGTATAGCCCTTCTACCAGTTCTTTCTTACAATAAATCATTTTTGATTAAATATTGAAGCAGTTGAACTTGCCTTTCTACATATTCGGTGGATATGTATGAACTTTTCGATCATTCATATAAAAAAATATCCCCGTTTTCTTTTTGGAAAAAGTCGTTTTTCACGGTATAACTATGTGTTTTTAACAGAGGTTGTTTTACATCTTATATTAGAAAATCACTGTGGAAAGATGTTAGCAATCTTAAGAATTGTTACCCTTGTTATATTCATTACTGAACTTGCTTCCAAATTTCATTGGACAGTGCAATGGCTCTTGAAAATTTTGAAAAATCACGTGTTGTCCCTCTGGTCATCGATTTGCTCTGGTGAGAGCAAGTAACGCCACCATTCGTCCTTGTTGCGAGTGAGTGTAGACCTGTGGACTCTCCTGACTAGCTCACCTCCAAAAACTCAACGAACTACAGGGAACTGACGGGTTGTACACTCCTTTAAGTCGGCTATTTGTTAATCAGCAAATCGATAAATGATCGAATCCAAGAGCCTTTCGCGAAAAGTCTTCGAAGGAGTTGAGTTCCTCGAGCAATCGCTTATTGTGGAGAACTTGATTGCAGTGGTCTCGCTTAGGTAATATGTCGTAGCCCCTACGGTAGAGCTGCCCAGGGAAGTCATTTAAATCTCACTAAACACCTGTTCTTCACCGATTACCTTTCTATGTTACACCTCTTCGTGGAAGAAAATCTTCGGTCTTAAGAAGAAAATACTCTGCTGACATTGGCGTTCAAGTTATCCTTTTCTATTCGATGAATCACTCTAATGACAGCAAATAGCTATAACTCTACTTGCTGTAATTATTCATAATAAAAATATTCAGAGGTTATAAAGTCGACTGTCATATTAGGTTGTCAAATCATAGAGCAAAATTAAGTAAATTGATAATAAAGGATAATATTAGCTGTTAAGTGTTGATAAAGTACGTCGAACACACACGCTCCTACATTCGTGTTCTTGGCAGCAAGCTGCTGATGACTGGTGCCAAGCCATCCCGTTATCCATTGCGATTCTTTTTACGACTCCATCCAATTTTGTTATAGCTATAGTTCTCCAACGGTCTGTCCACCTGCACCACAAATTGACACCTACATCAGACCTAGCTTCAGGGATGCAACCTTGTTACAGAGCTTACGCATTAGTGTATCGTTCACGAAGTCAAGTGTTCCCAAAAGCCGTCTTGAAAAGCTCATCAGGAACGAAAAGAAGCACTATAGAAATTGATTTCGTGTCGGGCAACCTACAATTATTATAACGATGACGTTCATTTTAGAAAGTTAGCGTACTCAAAGATGAGAGGGTTCGTTGTTGAAAGATGATTGAACCCATAGCCCATTACTTGGCTTCAGAGACAAAAGCAGGTTACTGCTTCTATTTAGTGAAATCGTCAGCCGAAGATCCTTACATATCTCTTCAAAAGTATGAAATTAGAATCCGTTCCATTCTTGTTTATAATTTTTTTGCTGCCCTTATACTACAACATCAGCTAACCTGAGGCTGGGCAAACTACTCTACGAAAGATGTGTTGATTTGTGCTGTTGTCATTTATTGAACTCATCATCGAGGAGTTTCAGAAATAAGGTGTTATTGTTTTGTATAAGTAAAGCATATTTGTTCGCACTACCATAGCTAAAATGTTAGCAGTACAAGCCATGCATCAGCAATCATGACTTATCACCGTATCTGAATGTCTGCAATTTAGCTATTCATAGATTAATCCCCTTTACAGATATGTCATCATCCGATACATTACCACTAGACGGATGGAACTATGCACTATTTTTCATTGAAACAGTCTTGAATGTTGCATTTATTCCAATTTTCTTTGTATTCGGCTACATTTGTATTACTCAGCAAAACCTCCACGTGAACTTCAGGTATGAAGCTCTTCTGTGACTAAATGTTGCTTAATATTTTTCCTTACTATAGTCAAAGTACTGGGCGGAGCACACCTGGGGTGTGGTGCGTTAGGAACGAAATGGTGCGTCGCGGTGAGAGGGGCGTCGCGCGCGAAGGAATGTAGCAGGATGCAACAGTGGGAAAGAAATACAAGAACAAAAGTACTAATAGTAGAATCATGCATAAAATAATGATCGCATATCGATTGAGCTGTATGAAGAACCATAGAGCTGTAATAACGGCGAATGAGTGGTCCGCGACAGGCGTGCGGCAAATCGATTACCCAAAATCGTTCCTAATGCCCGTCTCCCAGCACACCTGTGGTCACTGGTTAGAACCCCTGATCGATATCCGTCTAGGAAAATCAAGTTTTCTACCCCTCCGGGTCGGCTCGTCGGTCAGAATTGACACGTACATCGGCTGACCACCACAAACCATTGTATAGGCCATACATGCATCCAATAGTCCACAACGATTCTAAGTGGAAGTCGAGTGCGTGGGCGCATCCCTCAGAAGGGCTCAATTGACGCCCTAAGACTTTATCCTTTTTATAGAGAGTTGACAGCTCAGCTGCTTACCTAAAATGAGAGGGTCTTCTGAAGTTGGCACAACGAGACAAACGTCGTAGCAACAGATTTCGCGTCATCATTATGACGATTTTCTGTCATAAAATGTAAAATTCTTGAAATAATTAGATTTACAGCAATAAATCAGCAGTCCTAAGAACATTCCATTAACCTCAGAAACGGCTCGAGTAAGCCAGATATCAGACTGGTGTTCCCTCTTTCAGCCTCGAATATTTATTTTAGTGAAAAGGCCTGGAAGACTGCGAACGATCCGTGGTATAAAACGGAGCTAAAAAGAAGATATGTGATCACTGTAGCGACTGACTGACACTGATTAATTCTGGGATCGAAGAGACGATCAGTAACTGCAGCCATACAACCCTTCCATAGGGGCATAGCAATATGNTTATCCACCACAGTCCTTACCTTCGGCAATCAGTGGAAGTTTGGGAGTCTTATTTCACACCTTCACCGTTGCGAAATTGAAAAGATGCCATTTTTGCTCAAAAATATAGTTCTAGGTCTACTTTGTTCTTCGCAGGAATCGGTTGTTTAGTTGGAGCCATTCACCGACTGATCATTGTTTCTGCTCGAGTATGCTGTATAGCGAGAAGCGACACAAGACTCGTGGTGAGATCCTTTTAATTATATTATTTTGCAAGGTACATGTACTTCTCTTTTTGGGTAGGAGCGTAGTGTTGTCCAGACTGTGTCTTACCAGCAAGTAGCTCCCGTGGAGATCAGCATAAGATAAGAATTGTTCCTTAACTTTTATCCAGGATGAACCATGACCCCCAAGTATAGAACAGGGGCCACTGTCAGGTCGAAAAACGGCCTAGATGGCGTTAATATGGACGCAAGACCAGTTCAGCAGACAAGACCCGGAGGGGACTTGCTCTGTCGGCACTGTAAGGGTGCGCTTCGTTGCGCGCGTCCTTCGAAACTAGGTCACGCCGCAGCCGTCGCATGCGGCGCGACAGCTCGCGATCGAAAGTTGCGCTTGGTCCACGGAAGTCAGGGAGAAGATAACACGGTCCAAAGCAAATCATTTGCTCCACTGACACTTGGTGGTACTGTAAGGTCATCTCGAGACCTCAGTGGGATGCGCCGCGCGCGAATTGGGCGGGGTGCCCTACTTTCGACGGACGCGCGCAACGGACGTTCTCCGGGGTTGTAGAGGTTGCACCGTTCGCACCGAGGCCAAAATGTTGCGCGCATGCAACTCATTGGAGCTAGCCGTTAGCAAAGACATGCATTTGGATAGGTGGTCCAAATCTCCTTTCTGTGTACATTTTGTCGTCACATTATCTGTAATTTTACTACCTTTCTGAAGCCTTATACTTCCCTGAATTCAGCGCTTTTTTTTTGCAATTTTTGAGCCTCTCTTGACTATCCTTTCGCTACTTGTCTTAAACTATCACCCCAAAATTATCGTGAGCTGTGTCTTCAAGTGATGCATTAAAAACTTGTGATTTTATTTCATTAGTGTTGTTTTCTTTGAATAATATCGGATATGTTTTCATGCCCAACAAAATTCTTCCTGTACGAAGTGCTGGATTCAAGACCATCTATTCATGATACAGGAAAGCTTCAGTACGATTAATAAGACAAGACAGTCATTCTTCACACTTTTAAGGGCCAACTCTTCATATTTCAATACTTCGGCCAATATCTTTATACTTTTGGGTCCCTTTTTGTGGTTATTGAGAGAGCAATCGCTTCGTTATTCTCGAGTTCATACGTTCGCAAATGTACTGGATTCACTTTCGCTATAATTTTCTGCGGAGCGATAGTGAGTCTTTCTGAACCTCTTTCTTCCTATTACTCTCATACACTGAAGACTGTCGTAGAGAGAATCTTGGAAATGAATCTAGTTCGCCAACAGCCGGGAGGATATCACGGTTCGTTCCGGAACGATTTCTGGTATCGAATAGAAGCCGGAAGGGAAATCGATAGTTTACTGGGTAAAGTGGCCGAGAATCTCAGCTTTCTCTCAAGCTTTCCCAATATTGTAAAGCTCATATACAGCCAGCATACGTGATTAATGATACATTAAATCTTTCTCTGTTGACATAAGTTTAGAACTATGTTTGAAGAACTATGCCTTTTCAAGCGTTCAAGCGAATACCAGTTTTAATCGGACCTGTGGCTACGCCAGGTAGGGTAATAGAATAGCCGGTGCATTAAGCAAGTGACTTATACAATTTTGAAAAAAACGTACATCCGCATCAATACAGTTTGGCTATGTCAGGAGGTGTACTGAGGTAATTGTACCACACGTTGCCTCAAAGTCTGACAAATGTCTAACGCTTAAATGGGAATCCTTACTCGAATTTCAAACTGATTTAACATCAACGAACCTTAATTATGCTTTTTTGCAGATGTTGCTCACCCTCCTATGTTTTGGCACTTCTACATTACGTCTACGTAAGTAAAATTCTCTGTAACAAAAAGATCTTCCTCTTATATATCTGCAAAATATCTGAATATATTTTATTTTCTTTTTTTCACTTTTTTCAAATGAGAATATACATCCGACTTTCCCATGAAGGAACGTTCTGACTCAAGGAATGGAATGGAATGAGCAGAGTGAATTGCTGTCCAACTTTATCGTGTCGATCCACACCATTCATAGTAATTCGCAGTTTCACAGGCCCTCTTATTTGCGGTGGACCTGGGAATCACCTGGTAGACAGTTCCATAATGAAATAGTTCACATCGTCTTTGTTCGAAAGTTTTGCCTGACTGACGTCGCTGTTGTTCCGAAGTTTTAGGCGGGTTCAAACCATCGTCCACTCTGCGCTAGAGTTGCGAATTTCGGGCAACGAAACCCCAAGACTGTTGTAAACTGCGATAACTCGCGAGTTTGTAGACAGATCCCGTTAGCGACAGCATGGAAGAAGAATACAACAGCCTCGTCGAACATCTTCACGACAGTGGCAGCAAAGCAGAGAGTCTGAAACATGCCAAAAATGTCTTCATTTCAAGACTCCTCAGCATTTCAAGACTCCTCAGCCAGCGTGAAATCGCTGGAGCTAAGGCAAAACAACCAACAAACGCCCGAGCTATGAAGAGAAGCGATAAAGGAAGAACACAAAGGGAGAAAAGCAGCAGTCAAGGACGAAGGCGCCAAGGCTGGGAAAAGCATTCGCCAAACCCGACGAAGCTTGTAGGGTTGGTGTAAGATTGATAGGTATCCGCCTAGACCAACGAAGCCTTCAATCCCTCCGCATTCGGTTAATTGGTACCAGACTCGTCTGGGAGGATAAAAGCAGTGACTTGTACAATGGCTGGTCACCGCAATTCATTGTATAGGCCACATACCCACTCATTATGATACTATGATTCTGAATGTAAGTCGAGTGCGGGGGCGCATTCTTCAGACGGGGTTGGTTAACGCCACAGACTTTATCCTTATCCTTTGTTTTGCGATTGGGATAGTTCTGTGAAAGATCCAATCAAGAGAGGAAGTCCGAAACTAAAAAAAAACGAACTAATTTACTGAATATTTGAATTGGTTGACTCTTGAAGGTACTTTTATGGATGTCCTTTTTTTGGGTGATAAAGAGCATAATTATGTCTTGTTTCAGTCAACAACTCTAATCTATACTTTACGCTCATGCAAATTGTTGTTGCTATTCTATGTCTGGTGGTAAGAGCTAGCCTTATCGCATTACTATACTTACTTTGTAGACGTTTTTCATGGTTTCCTTTATTCAGGCACTGGTAATTATGTTGAGAATCAATACTTTAACTTATCGAAAACGACACGAGTCGATGATGCAGTTGGCTGACAGATATCATTTGGACGAGAATATTCGAATAGGGAAATATTATATACCTGTTGCTCTGAACGACTTCATTTGCAAGGTTAAACATTTATTTTTTTTCAACTTACAAAACGATGGAACTGAAATTTCTGGTCGGTATCCCTTTTGGTGTAGAGAAATTTAGCATTATCAAGGAATGATGTAAAGAACGGAAAAAAGTCATTATGGAACTGAGAAAAATTCGGAGCTGTGTTAAGACCTGTCAAGAGAGCTAAACGAGCTGGCTCAGGAGTGGTGGTTATTCTGAGCAAGTGAAAATCTCACTGACAGGATTTTCGATCCAGTTATGCGATCGCTTTATCGTCATACTTCGGTAATTTCGGAAATCCCGCTCGTGTGTTAGGTACAGTTGGGTCGGCCTGGCAATAAAAACAAGAAGCACAAGGATTCCGCTTATGATAATGACTGGCCCTCAGTTTGACGTTTCTTCAATACTCCAATTCACTTCTTTCTCGATTCCGGATTTCATTTTACTTTGATAATGTCCTCCCGAATTTCAGGTGATTTTCGTAGGACTTTTGGCATATTCGGTATTTTTCACTGATATTCCACTTGGCCACGATACGACCCATCTAAGTCATGCATACGATGTGGTTAGTGACACTTCTCTTTAGACAATGCGTTCACTAAAATTGAAGGCACGAAATTTTCAGATGTTCGCGTGCCAACGAATGTTCTTCGGGTTGGCGTTGACATTGCGAAGCGAGAAATTTGATAATCTGATGAGACGAAAGAAGAGAGCCATTCGGGTGCTTGACAGTCAAACATCAATTAATCATTTTGATGGACTCAGAAAACTTTGGTCATGAATATGATAATCAATAAATATTACTTTGATGATGCCCCGAAAACTCTTACGGATTCTGCTATGTACCCTAGAGGCCTTTCCCCTCAGCTCAAAACTAATTGAAAAAAATCAGATCAGGGAATTTTTTGAGTGATCTAGGCCAACACTGCTCACAAGTCTGCCTCTGCGCTGCTTCCTGTTCAAGAGGGGAATCGGCTACAAAGCCGTGATCGTTCAGATCCTATATTCCCTTCCTAGTACATTGTGGGTTATACAAAAGCTTCTGCGTTTTTCCACAGAACATCACAGTCCGACCTAGCTCTAGTTTCGTAGGCTTCGTAAGCCAATTCACCTGGTAGGTATCTCCTATGTGAGATCGATAGAGGTAGGTTGGTCTAGTGACCGATTCGTGCGAATAGCCTCAAACTTGGGTAATCATTCATTTATTTAACACCCATCAGAACAACAAACGAGCAAACAACATCGACGAACAATGAACATCGGAGAACTAACAAATAAAACATAAGACAATTAAAAAAGGGAAAATAACAATTCAACCACATTAGTTTAAAAAACTCACTCGGTGGTTCGTTTCGCCCCTTATATCCCGACGAGCCACTTTGTTTTTTGCCAACCCCGAGGCTCATCAGTGGATGAGGATTGGCAAGAAACGATAAAAAGTATCAAAACAATCAATTTTTTAAAAACAAAGAACAGAATAGTCCACAACTTAACAACTCACAGCAAAAAATATCATTTAAAAGTAAAAGGCATGAGATAATAAAATATGAGCTGATAAAAATCACTATCTAAGAAAAAAAACAAAACAAATAAAACATAAAACAGCAACAAAAACAAACAAAAGAGTGCGCCAACCGATGATGCGCAATCCGCAGTCGCCAAACTTATCAATGAGCTTGAGCACAGGGCGTCGGCGTGCGTGCGTGGTTTTCCCGCGCAATTTTGATCAATAGAGATCACCTCAGATCACCTTCGTGATATCGTAACAGGAAGACATTTCCTCATGAACATCCACTTTTGCAGTTCTCGGAGTTGTCTAAGCGACTGAGCATTGTATGCATAACCCAAAATTGGAAAAAAACACTTAATTGGAAAAGAATTGCAAAAAATTCGTATTGTTCAAAGTCAAAAGTCAAAAGGGTGGCGTCTGGACTCTTCGGGATAGAATTACGGCCCATTTCGAAGATTTGACCGCATTTCACTTATCGTTGACACCTCTATTTCCACGACCTTAAACGCTTTTGGACAGAGTTATGAATTTTTAAACTTACCGCCGCTCACCTCGAGCGCTTGGTCGATGCGCAGACGGAGAATGGACAGTCGCAGGCCTAATACCTCGGTTGAGACTACCAGATGTTCTATCCAATGAAGCATCAAAAATCAGGTGGAGCTGAAGTTTCTCCTATCAACTCTCGCTCTTAGAGCGAATAGGTGACCGTCGTAGGTATTCTTGACTGTCTGCTTACTTTTCGTTTCTTGAAGGCGATGACGTCGGAGCGAAGCTCCTCGCTCGCCTTATTCAAGATGGCCTGGTCGACCTTCGAAGCAATGGCACGCTTTTTGTCTGCAGGTCCCTGAGGTCGCCGTTCGCTAGAGCTCGTGCTCCATCTGCTCCGTTTCGGACCCTCTCTGTGCCTGTTGTGGCTGATGCACCGATTTTCGGGTAGCAAACCCATTGAGGCCGGACACTTCAGACTCTCGTTCGATCACACTGATCAAGAATTCGTTCCACAGAATTTTTATTTTTCAGATGTTTTCCTCGTTCTGTTCATCTCACTAAGGTCCTATCTATTTATTCATAGTTGCAAAGGCAGATTATCACAATAGAAAGGATTCGGGTCGGCCAGTTGCCATCGCTACATCCACGTCATTTGAAATACGATGCTCTCTCTTAACTTGTTCGTTATTCAAGCAAGTGCTTTTGTTTGAGACCATTAGACTCTGGCTCAAAACTGCATTCCTCAAGCACTGGTGAGATACACCCGAGCCCAGAGTTTATCATTATTCATTGATCGACCGCTGATAGAATTTGAAACAAGTAAACTAGCATGAATTGAAAAAAGGAGTGCCGGTTCCCGCGTAGTTCAAAAGGCTACAATCAAGGGAACAAACTCGACCGAGCTCTACATTCTTAATGCAGCCCAACAGAGTAGCAAACGATGTTACTTATCTTGTGCCTAACCAAATGCTCCTAGCAGTCATTATGTGCGGGATTACCGCAGGCTGATCCCTTGCTTCTGCACAGACAAGTAAAAGTATCAGATCCATCAGATAAATGTGGGGCACTACGAACTTAGTCCTTAAAATAGTGGAGGTTAGCTGGCAGGTGAGCAAGGCGTTAGATAATGCAGGGCGCTTGGCCCAAAGGCAACAAGCAGGAGGAACATTGGCACTAGGTGTTCAGCTTGATCGTGATCAGTACCTCCACAAAAATAGTAGGAAAGAAATTCCCTGGTCGAATGATTCGAAAGGGCTGATTCAGCTCGGCAGTCGCCAACTCGAGAACTTTGCTTCTGTGTCGGAATAATACTTCTTGCGCTCACTTCTTGCTGTATGAGTCTTCCCTTCATTTCAAATTCAGTGGTGATTCGGAACTGTCTGGATCGCAATGCAGATACAACGAAATGCCACGGCTTGAAATCGCTATTGCAGAAATTTCTGATTCTGATTACCAAAATCGATATTCGTTATGTGACAAACATAGTATTTCTATGTATCGTAAGACTTCTAATAACAATACAACACAGAATTGAACACAAACATGGACTCCAAATGATTAAGTTATTTTCAAAAACAGGGTGTGGTGAAGTGGAACCTTGAGTAATTATTGGTAGCTAGAGGTCATACCTGAATTCGATATATGCGCTCACACCTCGAAATATTCAACATCAAAACAAGTGAAAAGCAACGGCACGATTGAGAAATCGAGCGGAAATGATTGACAGATTTACATGACAGATTTGGGCACCATCGAGTTTTGATGCCTGACGGTGATCTGTCCGCCTTGCCTTCCGTGCTTTCACGCACGTTACCTCGAGCAGACTGACAGTGCCGAAACCTCAACTGGGCAAGATATAAGCGATTAGGGTCATTCAGACATCTGTTACATGCGCCGTCAAATGCAGTCGTTAGAGCGTAAAAGGCGACCATGTGGGTCGTGGATGGTCTTTGTATTCAGAAGGATATTAAACAGGGAACAGAATTTGAAAAAGGTCATATTTTAGTGGATATTAGATAGAAAACGGCGATGGAGGGTTGAATGTTGCAAAGAAGATGGACAAGGGTTTCTTGATATGCAACCTCACTTCTTGTTCATGGTTGTAGGACTCACTGAATGAATTATTGTGACTGAATGTTTAGGGTGCGCGAATGAACAAGAACAGAAAATTTCGGTTTGGACATCGAACAACAAGGAGAGCGATTGGCGTCCCTTAGTGCGCAGATCGATTATGAGTAGGTGGTGGAGAACATGACGGTGGGGAGCTATTCTACAGTGCGATAATCAGAAAATGATGGTAGTTGAGCAATGGAAACTTTCTTTACCAACAGGATGCACGTATTCATTCAAACTCCAAATTGTACAAGAACACCGTGACTCATGGACACCATGACTGAGGTTCCAGGCTGCTTTCGTCTAGTATGCTTAATATGCAGTTGACTTAAAACTGGTGAATGGCTAGCGCCGTTACAGCTAGGTTTGAAATCTGTAAGGTCTCTTCAGTGACGAGTGTGATGAAGCTCTCCAATCATCTGTAAGAGAAGACACTGGCAGAAAAGGAAACATGAGAAACTCCCATCGGGATTCAAATGACTCAGGAGGGCGAATATCGATTATCACCTGTGCGCCTAACAAACTTAGTTCTCCTGAGGCCCCGCTCGGCGGTGTTTCAGCGCGTCCGTGGCAGCCTGTACTAAACAAGCCGAGTCACCGTTTTGAGCAGACTACCTGACTTCTTTCGATACGAAGGATAATAATATAAAATAATCTACCCTCCCCATTGCAGGTTTGATCGATTGGCGCCATTTCAGTCTGGGTTAATAAAAACAATGGCCTTTATATCGGGTTATCCCGAAAGTCATTCTGTAGATCAAATACGCAATCGAAATGCCGCTCCCCAGCGTGAGAGGCACACTTCTGGTGTATCCAGAAGCTAATCGTTATAGATCTACAACAAAGCTTTATCCGTAATTTTATTGTTTCTGTTGAGTCTACTGGTCAGCTTGAAGTTTTGATGTGTGAACTATGTTCGAATTCAGTGGGTGCCTTTTCCTTAGCAAACAACAACACAGTTTTCTCTGATTCTATAGAGAACAAAATCTTTGATCACTGGACCTCTTTTTCTTGTCGAGCGCATTCAGCGCAACATGATTTGTGATGCTTGAGTAGCCTGAAATCTGCCATAAATGCTATCCAACCTTCTTCTTTTGGGGTTGTAATTTGTCAAAGCAATTAGGTATATCAGCCGTATCCAGGCGTATTTTTCAGCTTGAAATGGCTTACTACCCTTTACTTACTGCTGTCTACTAGTAGTATTCGATTAGAATATAATAATGATTTCTTCCTTTTCAGGTTAAGTGCCTCATTCGCTAATGAACGTGCTTGTTACAAGCAGCATACAACCAAAATATTGTAATCAATTTTCAGGACCATTTAACTCATTGTAGCTTGGTGAGAACTGTCCTTCAGTTATCTCCGACTAACTTGCCAAGCAGTGATGCAAAAAACTTAATTTTTTTAGAAAAACATTTTTATTCTATATTAGAAACTGCTCCATAGTCTCAGCATTCCCAGACGGAGTATGGACTTCCTCGCACCAGTTTTTGATTCCAGTCCAATATTGCGATGACTTTTTAGAACTTTGGAATTCAGGCCTTGTTTTTTTGTTTATCATCATCTCCTTTTTGCAGTCAACTATACCGACTACACGAGTCTTACACTTGTGGTACATTGGAGTCTCTTGGGTACTATTTGAAGCTTCAATGCTTTCTCTGTATAACTAA